GGGGCACGGTTGGTTCGCAGAGCCCCGGGATGCTCGAGGGGTGTGATCCGTGTCTGGGATACGAGGGTCCTGCTGCGGCCCCCGGGGGTGCTGGGGGGTCACCAGGTAACGGGGTGCATGGAGCCTCGGGGGGGTTCACCAGGAAACTGGGGTGCACGGAGCCAACAAGGGGGCTGCACTTTGGCTTTAAGGCAGAAAAAGGAGCTGAATGATGTGTCCAAAGCCAGGCTGGACGGGGCTTGGAGCAATCTGGTCTAGCGGGAGGTGTCCCCGCCCATGGCAGGGGGTGGAAAGAGATGATCTTCGACGTCCCTTTGCAACTCAAACCATTCCTGGATTCTAGGATTTCTCTGCCCTCCCAGTTGGTGCATCACAAACCTGCCCCCTGTGAGACTGAGCTGCTTGTGCTGGAGGGGTGTCCCTGGGGTCAGAGGGGTGTCCCTGGGGTCAGAGGGGTGTCCCTGGGGTCAGAGGGGTGTCACTGTAGCCAGCAGCTGGGTCATACTGGGATTCTCCCAGCGTGGCTCTCCTCAGGCCCCCTCTGCTGCCCGCTCAGGGCTCAGCCAGGCTGTGTGGGACTGGCTCAGGGCTGGCTCCAGACATTACATTTCTTTCCTCTTATGCAGAGCTGGAGCCAACATCCAGCTGAAATCCACAGAGGCTTTTGCCTGTTGGATCAGCCCCTGAAACATGTAGCTGTTTTCCTCCCCCACCTCATTTCTGTGAGGAAATCTGGGATTAGAATCATTTTGGGAAAGCCCAGTGCTGTGTTACGTCTGTGCTGTGCCGTTGCCTGGCTGTGCATGTCCCGGTACCACACGCCCTGGATCCGTGCACACACGTGCATCCCTTGGATTCCCCACTCAAATTCCCACTGGGAGCCCCGCAGGCAGGTCCAAGCCCGATATTTGGGTGTCTGGTGGGGTTTATCTGCGGGCACAATGGCAGGAAGGGAATCTGCAGGTCGGATCTGAGCCTGAGACAAAGAAAATTGAATGAAAATGGTGAATGCAGCTGTGGTTTAAACACTGCACTGAGGGGAAACGGGATCCCACATGGAGAGGGAGGTGATGGCAGAGCTGGAGGCTCAGGTGATGCTCCAAAATAACCCAGCCCCTCTTCTTCTTCCAGCTCTTTCCACTCGAAGACCTGGCTCTGACCCACTGAAGGACCTGTGGAGATGCTTCACGTGCTGGAGGAGCAAGGACTGCCCGAGGTGGGAGCTGCTCACCTGGCTGGCGAGGAAGGGTCTCCTCAGGGCATCTCCGGGTACTCTGACCTCTCTGAAACCACACAGACAATTACATCCCAAAAAATCTGAGTTTTCATGGCCCTGCCCAGACACAGGGTAAATTCATCTTGTTTTTCAGGTCAACCTAGTGCTACAAACTCGGGGAGAAATAAACAGGGGAGATATTTATTTTTGTTTATTTTTTTTACATTTCTGTACTAGCTTGTTTGCAATATGATACAAACATGTACTGTTCGCTTCCTCGGGACCTGCCCTCATTAAAATGAGATGTGATCAAAGGAAACTTGGGCTTCCTGGTGCTGTTGTGGGGTTTTGGTGGGGATTTTTAAGAGCAAAGCCTGGTCCAGCCCTGCACGGGGCAGACACTTCAGCAGTTGGGTCACTCCCAGATTTTTCTAACATGATTTAACTCCTTGACACAATTTTTTCTGCAGCTTTACAGTAAATCTCTTTTACTGCCTGTCAGGGAGTTACTGCCAGGCCAAGTGTCAATTCAGATGACAACATTTAGGAATGTTTCCTCAACTGGGCTGCACAGAAGCTCTGTGAGTCCTCACTACTCTGACTGTGTTTTGCCTGCTCAGGGCTTAATTTACATGTGTCCCCACTGATGAAAATAAATGTTAAAACAGGGAGGAGCCTCGGTGGTGGGTAGGAGCACACAGTAAAGGGGTGTAGGAGTGAGTGGGATCTGGGATCTAGAAAAAAACTGAGGTTTGGGGGGCTGAGTCCAGTACTGCTGAGTTTTAATCCCCTGGCACTGGTGGCTGTTGCAGGAAATTGGACAAAAAGAGACATTTCCACTCCTCTTAGATGAACTCCCTGCTCCTGCCATGGTTTGTGCTGCCTTTGGTTTGGATCTGGAAGGAAAAACCCCTTGTTGGGGGAGCAGGGAGTGTGCCGAGCCCTCTCACCAGGGAGGGAAGGGTTAAAATGAGGCAGGACAGGGAAAGGCCAGCTTTGAATAGGAGGGTGCACTGGGGATGAAGGACCATGTGCTGAGAGACCCTCATCTGTTGGAAAGGAACACTTGACCAGCGAGACACTCAGTTAACCACAAACCCTTCACTTGTCACCTTGGAAAATGGTTTTTGCTGTTGAGTGTGAGCTGATTTCCCACTTGGGGCTGTAAAGTAATTTCCTATGTGCTGCCTGCTCTCCAGAGACATCTGGGCCATCCCTGGGGGTCAACAAGCCCAACAAAATGCAAGAGAGCTTAAAGAGGTGTTTAACTGCCCTCCTGCCCTGGGGCAGGACCCAGCTATCCCTGATGGATGTTAATCTGATCCTTTCTAAGAGGATCATCCTGAGGGAGATGCCACAAACCCCATGCTCTGCCTCCTGTCCCTCTCACTCTGGGGGGCTGCGTGTCCAGATCATGGGGACCCCATGACTTGGACCACAGGGACACCCTGTCCTGCTCCCTGGGGATGCCCCAGGATGAAATGCAGCCCATGGATGCTTGGGGAGGATCCTGGATTTGCAGCTGGAAGCAAACTGGGCGGGACAAAAGCTTTTTGAGGGGGGATGGACAGGCCCAGAGCTGCAGCAGCATGTTGGCTCCTGGCCCCATTCAGGGTCCCAGTGCCTCCTGCCCCCCTGCCCCCCCCCCAGCAGCTTTGCAGGGATAACTGCAGCCAAAGAGGTCGATTCCTGGCACCTCTCTGGGCTTTGGGAGGGCTCAGAAACCCCCAGGAGACAGTGGGACAAGTCATCCCTTCCCTCCTCCCACTTCCCAGAGCCTGTGGGGTGGTGGACTAGGGGTGCCAGGGGTGCCGGGAATGCGGTGGCACCCAGGTGGCTTTGCCATGCCCTCTTGTGGCCACACCGATGCCAGACGCTGGGAAGTGCTGGGAAGTGCTGGGAGCTGCCACGTGGGTGGGGATGAGCCCTTCCACCACGCCCCCATCCCTGCATCCTCGCAGAGTGGGGCATTGCCCCATGGGTGCCCCTCTGCCCACGTGGCCCCAGCCGAGGCCAGGGCCCAGCAGGGGATGGGAGCTCCGAGTTAACGCCTGTCCTGCTGCTCCCTGCATGGATTTGGGGAGCCCAAGTGTGGGGCTGCCCAGGGTCCACACGCAGCACAAGTGGGGTTTGGAGCTGGATCTGGCCCAGGTCTATCCCTGAGGTGCCACCTGGGAGTTGTGCAGCTCCAGCAGTGCCGAGGCCTGGGCTGGCTGACGTGCCAGGCTTTCCCGTGCCAGGCTTTCCCGGACGGAGCAGCCGTCACCCAGCCCGCGGTGCCAGCGGATGCATTTTGTTCCAGCCCAAGAGGCGGGTGAATCCAGGGCCCACGGTGGGCAGGAAGACGTCCCACCCCAACCCGGGGCAGCTCCCTTTCCTTCCCGGCTCTCGGCCTCTCCCGGGGGAGCAGCAGCATCCACGGGGGCCGGGGGCTGTGGGAAGGGCAGTGGCTGGGATAGGAACCAGCCGGGTAGAGGAGCTGCTGTGAGCTCAACCCAGGGCTGGCCTGGGCACACTCACAGTGGCTGCAGGGCCCTGCATGTACCAGGAGGAAGAAAACTCCCCAAAGAATTTTGTCCACCACGGCCTCTGCTCGGAAGCTGTTCCTCAGGGATGCTGGTGGCTGAGCCAGGCCAGGACTGAGCCCCCCTCCAGCTGTGGTGGTGACTGAGGATGGAAATCCCTTGGACAGAGCTGGGCATCCCAGGTGGTCCCTGTGATGGTCCCAAATGTCCCTGTGGGGAGCCTGGACTGCAGGACCTGGTGCTGAGCTGGGCTCTACCAGGGATCCCATCCCTGCCACTCCCTCCTGTTCCCACCTTCACCCTGACACCAGCCAGGGAATTGATGGGGACTGGAGACAAGGGGCAGGACCTGCAGAGACCAGGAGGTGATGGTCTCTCTGTGCCCACCCTTTTGCCTATTTCCAAGATATCCAGAGAACTGATAAGGTGACAGTGGCTTAGAGACACTGTCAGGGATGTTCCTGGCCAAGCTGCAGCTGCCCAGAGCCATTCCTGGGGAGCCCAAGGGGAAACACTGGGTTGGGACCCTCCCATGGACCCCACTCTCCCACCCAGGAATGTCTCTCAGGTGTCCCCAGGACTGTGCCAGCCTGGAGGTGCCACCCTCGTGTTGACTGTACACAGGGCTGTATTTGGGGAGTACCCACTCTGCTTTGGGCACTCACCTGCCATGGGCACATGCCACGGGAGGGGATGTGACTCGTGACACTGGGAGGGAGGGTGACCTATGCCAGCACTGCCCACTCTGCCTGCTCCCTGGGCATCCTGCCAGACCCCTGTCCCACTCCTGAGGATGCTGGGGCTGGCACAGGAGTGGCTGGTGTGGCAGCAACACTAAAATGCCCCTCGGGGTCCCCTCCAGAGCTCTGTCAAGAGCTGCAGACACCTCAGGGGGCCATGAAGGTCCCTGGGGATGTCCTGCCTGTCCTGTCCATGGCAGGGAGATGCTGCAGGAGTGGTCCCAGCCCTCACAGGGTCCCCTGGATGCTGGGGTGGCACCCAGAGCTGGACATGCCAGAAGAGCTGATGCCCCCAAACCTTTTAGCCTCACCCACAACTTTCATGGCACAGAAAGATTAAACCCAGGCATGGCCACACTAAAACATGCCCCTGGAGATGGGTGACTGCAGGAATGGGTGCTCCTGAGGATGAGTACTCCCAGGGACAGGGGGCCCCATCTGGGGGGCTCAGTGCTGCTCTTACACCCCTGTCCTTGCTGGGGTGACACTGGCACCAGCACCGCTTGCATCTGTGCCAGTACCAACCTCTCCACAAGCAAGTCCCTCTGGAGTCACATTACCCATGGGATTTTCCTCTAGGAATCCTACCTCAGCTCTTCCAGGGGGGACAGGGGGCTGCCTGGCAGAGGCAGCGGGTGCCCGTCTGCGGGGGCAGAGCAGGATGGCTCACATGGGCTGTGGGAGCAGCACCCCTGCCTGCTCACCTGGCCGTGGGTGTGCTGGCACGTGGAATTCTCGGGTGTGCCCGGCCTGGCTGGTCACCAGCTCCACCTCTGCACAGCCCCAGCACCACCAGCCCCCCCGGGGCAGCACCCACAGCTCTGCTCTCTCCTGCAGGTGATAAAGGCCCAGGTTGTGCAAGAGGGATCTCTCGGCCCTCAGCAGAGTAACTGAACTTTCTGGACTTTCACAATCCACAAAACATGTAATTAATCCTCCTAATGATCAGTTCTCCTTCTATCCCCATCAATCTAACCTGGGGAATGTTTACAGCTCAATAGTGCCACACACAGAGGCTCAGGGAAAATGAGATCGTGCTTTTTACGAGCTCTCCTCTCATTCCTGGTTCCTCCAGCAGCACAAATAAATCATCCCCTTCGAAATCATCCCCTGAGAGCAGCCAGGACACAGCAGCCCCACACTGAGTGATGGTGAAACAGGGGAGGAATGAACACAACAGCATCTGTGCCAGTGGGAAAGCCCAAGACTTCATTTATTCACAGTAAGAGCGAATTACTGCAGTGGCAACAGCTCTGCAGCTCCCAGTGGATATCATCCAACATAAGGTGCATCCCTGAGCTCGAGCAGAGGGACCAGACCTCCCTCCACACCCAGGCAGAAGGTCTGTGGGTGGCCAAGCTCTGCTGGGAATTGGAGCCTGGCAGGAACCAGCCCGGTGAGCTCCTGCTCCATGTGCAAAGCTGGGTGTGGAGCAGGGGTGGATAAACACCAGCACCGATGGGGAGGAGGAGGCTGGGAGGGAGGAAGGGCCCAGCCTGTTCTCACCCTTGGCAGAGCTCCCATCCCAGAGCAGGGTGAGCACAAGGGAGCGACCCACATTGCAGGAGTGGATCTGGGAGAAGGGGAAAGGAGAAGGCACAGGATCTGCCCCAAACCATCCAACAGGCACAGTGTGGGGCCACGAGTGGGACACAGAGTCCCTGGAGTCTTGGAAATGTGTGTCCT